TTTTTTTTTTCACTTGACATGCAGAAAACAATCAATTATAATTTCTTTTACGTGACAAATTTTTCCATCTTCGTTACATACCAACTTCAATACTTCTTAATGACAAAAATTTACTGACTCCGGTGCATTGCTTTTAAAAACCATTGACATCTTTCCAATACTCTTTCTAATACTAAACTCTGCCAGATGATCAGTAGTAGTGACATTTTGGTTTTAAATTTGTCTATAAATAAATACTCTGTAGTAGCTTACTGTTTTAGCATTTAAACAGCCTATAGAACTGCACAGCAGTTACCTGAATGATCTTTTTGTGCCAGAATTCAACGAGAAATTAAATCACGGTAACGTTGCTTGTTAAGTTTTATCTAACCAGTTTTGTATACCGCAAGTGGTAGAAGCAATCACTACTGTAGTTTGCTTAATTGATTTTACATGGCAGTCAAAACTTCTCAAATAATTATTTTATCAGTAACCTTTCTAACACCTCAATTAAATAAGTCAAATCAGCTTTTTTTTGACAAAATCAGTTAACAATAGATAATAAAGAGGGTTGTATAAATGCTGATTCCAGTAAAGAGCGGGAAAAAGAGGAAACAAGTTCAAAGATGATGACTGAATAGTTGAGGAAGGTTATCACAGTATACATTCTTTGACTGATGTCGACCCAGATTACAGAGTCTGTGGCCATTGCGACGGACGGTTCAAACGATTCTGATAAAACTGATATGCCAAAATGGCTCCGCATACAATCGTCATTACCAGGCCGGCGAAGTTTTCAAACCCGGGTGCCAAATCATAGTAAATAGTGATGGCAAAGAAATGAGCGAAATAAACCTATAAAATTTGATGATACAACCATTTAATACACATTTTAAAAAATGTTAGTTTTTTGCCAAGCTTGTGCTAATCTAGAAAAAATCTTCTAATTTTTAATTTCTTCAGAGGCTGCCTTTTTTGTAATACTTTTGCCGAGAATCGCTCATAACAAAACTGACCAAAAGTTAGAAAATTTTGGGCAATATAAACACTAGTTTTTTTCTTCTACTGTGAATTTGTTTCTAATTAAAAATGTAATGCAAATATTCGCCTGGTTGTTAACTGTTCATTGTTTTTACACTTTTTTTCGAAAGGTTTAGCAAAAGTTTTTGTACTCTTTCATTTTTCTTTTGTCTTCGTGTTTACACTTATGCTTCTTCAACTAAACGCAAGCCACAAACAATAAAAAGGTTTCTTACGCGGTATAATACAAATGTTTTAGCTTATATAGAATCATTAAAAAGCTTTTATTGCTGCTTGAATAAACGAGCAAAAACAGACCTGAAGTGCACTTCGAACGCTGCCAACTACACAAAGCGCAAGAGCTCCAGCATTTTGCAGGCAAGCTATTGTAAAACACTGTACAGCAATGCCCATTACGACAACAGAAGCTAGACAGATAACAAAAGACCAGGTAGAGCTTGTAAAGATGAAGAATACAGAATCCCGGATTTCATCCTAAAAAAATCCTCATTTTTCTTTATCTGTTTTTTTTACAATATTTATTGGCTGAACATGAAGCAAAGTACTTGTTTCTTCTTGCTAGTTTTTTATTTTTAGCATTGTTACTGCTATCAAATAGAAACTTTTTACAAGTCAATAGTTTCTGGACAACCAATAACAAATTCTGACAACATACTGCATAAGCTGTTATACATTTTAACAACAAATACTTTTTTTTTTACCAAATTAAGGATGTTTGAAGATAACTCCGTAAACCGTCATTATACTTAATCACCAAAAAAAAAGTTCGGTTTTATCATTAAAAAGTGATTTCTATCAGGCTTTAAATTCTTTAGCGTAAAAAATAATTTTATAAGCACTAATTTTCAGCGCTGATTTATGAACATTCTTTAATACTGTCACTGTACTTAGCATTAAGAAAAAAAAGCATATTTAAATGCAACAAAATTAACCCTTCGTTAACGCTGCCGGTCAAAGAGAGAACACAATTTAAATATTAAAGTTTATCAATTAAAAAAGGTAAAAAATTACTCCTAAAAAATCCCAACAAATTAGTTCTTTTTCTTCACTTGAATTATAATCAAAAACAGAGGCAGAAGAATGCTACACTATCGTTTGTAATACACTTGAAGACAGCTGTTGCTTCCAGATGCCATTTGTTCTGCCGAGTAATGCATTCATTTTATGCTATTTTTCCTGGCTTCAACTACCGTAGTAGTTGCATGACACCAAATTCAATCAGTGCCATCCAACAAATAAATTGGATTTTCGCTGCGATAACGAGGAGATAGGAGAAATTACAGTTAAATTTGGCTATGCACTTTCTACTGTAGATGCATATTAGTGAAATCCAACTTTTTGTCGCACATCTTTTTTTCCTGCCTTCAAATTTCTGTTAAAATTTCAGTTCTACTGAGAGTTTATTATTAGTGTAGAGACAGATGCGTTGAGCAGTAAAACAG